TTTGTACATACAGAGATTTATTTATTTATTTACGACATTTATATGCCGCCCTTCTCACCCCGAAGGGGCTCAGATAAAATAAGATGGGAAATAGAATGTATATTTGCATATTCTGAATCTGAAGGTATAATTTGTTTGACTTTGACTTCCTACCTTTGGCTTTTGGGACACAAAGGCTGTAAGCCACATTCCAACTATGTCTTATGAAAAGTAGCCCTTGGTGGGAATGGCATGGCAGCATCCATCTTCTCCTTAAGAAGAACTTGAGGATTGAATCATAAAATCATAAAAAAATATATTAAAAAAAAACATTGGAAGGCGCCCTGTGGGCCATCAGGTTTGATCCCTTACTCAGTGTGAGAAAGAAAGGACATAAAAGAGTAAAAAATAAAACCAAGACTATGGTTTCGATATGTGCTTTCTTCAAAGGTTAAAGAGGGACATTATGAATAGTGATGGTGAATATACATTCCAAGGATGGTTTTGGAGGACAATAAGTTGTTTCGTCTTGAGATGTTAAATTTTAGACATTGTTGAAACATCCATTGCCGAGAGACATGATGTTCAATATCTAGCTGTGGCACCCTCAGCAGGTAGCTGTCCTCTTCTTGAAGACATCAAGAGAAGGAAAGCTCATTGCATCTCTAGGTTCTCTTTCTGAACTGCTGTCACTGCTGAGATGTTCTTTCTAATGTTAAATTGAAATCTTCCCTCTTGTAACTTCATACCATGAGACTTGGTCCTAAAGTCTTGGGCAGCAAAGAACAGACCTGCTTCTTCTTCTTTGTGTTAGCCATAGAGGTATTTCAGAAATGCAAGCACATTATCCCTCAGTCTTCACTCCACCAAGATGAATATGCCCAATTCTTTCAACCCAGCTAAACACACCCAGTTTATATATATATATATATATATATATATATATATATATATATATATATATCTTTCTTTCTTTCTTTCTTTCTTTCTTTCTTTCTTTCTTGGATATATTTGTCCAGAAGGAGTTTGGTTTATAAATGGTTCGGGGCTAGGCTATTTGTCTAACCACATCTCCCTATATAGACCACCTCACACACTGCGGTCAGCGGAGGAGGATTTGTTTTGGGTAATATTCCCCCCCCCCCTCCAATAACTATGAATTCTCTGTTTACGTGAGACAATGTGTGTATGTTTTGGGGGGGAAGACTCCAAAACACACACACTATATTATTATAAGAGTGCTATGTAGTTAGATCTTAGCAATTGGTCAAATTGTAACCCATGCATAGAGCAATCAGTCAGACATCCAGAAACCAGATATCGATATTTGTGTAATATTGGTGACAGCAAATCTGAATGCATTTGAATGGTCCCTTCCTTCTCCAAAGATTATCCATTGGAGATATAATCAAAGTTGAATAGGAAGAGCTTCCAGGTCAGAAGGAAGCAGGGCCGTAGCCAGAAAAATATTTCGGGGAGGGTTGAAAATTTTGGGGAGGGTTGAAAATTTCAGGGAGGGTTGAAAATTTCATGAGGGGGGGGGGTTAGGGTCACGCTGAAGCAAAGAGCACAGCAGGGGGCAGAGCAGCCTTCCATAGCCTGCAGCTCCCCCCTGTCAACCACCTCCACCAAGTCTGGCCTCCTTAATGAGAGCATTCAACACCCCCCCCAAAACTTGGTTGCTTCGCTACATCGACTATTGCTGCAAGTAATGACAGTGTGAATAAATTGTCAATATTTGCTTGAGATAGTGCTTGCAGTTCTGGAGGGACTCTTAATTTTTTGCATCTCATAGACTTAGCATTAGGATTTGGTTAACCAGTTAAAATTCATGAGTAAACCAGGTGTTTTTTTAACTTGAAAAATTTCGGGGGGGGGGGTTGAACTCCTACACCCCCCTCCACCCCGGCTACAAGCCTGGAAGGAAGTTACTGTTCTGAAAGTGTGACTAGTGACCTGCATTTTGAAAAGGGCACCAGGAAGGCAGGCTAAACCTAATTCCCTTTATAGCCCATGCCATGAAGGGTCTTTGTCCACTTGGCACCAATGCCTTTTGGAGGAGGCCCTGACACTTTGCCCTGAGATTCCCCTAGAGTTTGGACAGAAGCTGAAAGACAGATACAGTTTTAAAATTAGGCAATTAGAAATGATTCCACAGATATATAAACCCATTTTCCTAGCTCCAACAGACCTCACTACCTCCGAGGATGCTTGCCATAGATGCAGGCGAAATGTCAGGAGAGAATGCCTCTAGAACATGGCCATATAGCCCGAAAAAACCTACAACAACCCAATTAGAAATGCGCTAAATTTTCATCACCACCTGCTGCATCACATATTGGGGAGGACGTATCTGCAAGGGGAATGGTACATGTCACCAACATTTGAGTGGGTTTTGATCTCCTGCTTCCCTTTGCTTAAGTAGCTGTAACTTATCCAGGAGCCACCAGAGCAGTTAATTCCCTGTCCCCGCCTGTACTTGAGAGACAGGTGCACCTCCAGCCTGGCACTGCTGTCACTGCACTTCTAAGGGGAAGCTGGATTTCCACCACGAAGCAGATCTCGCTCCACGGTGTGAATTATCCTCCTGCCTCGCTGGAGGGGAGAGGTGAAGAAGGGAGCGAGGGAGAGGCTGGAAAAGATGATGAGATAGCGGTTTCTTTCCATTACTGGCTTTTATGTGCCTGCTCAAGCCTTCATCTGTATCCACATGAATGTCATTCTCAGATATTAGCTATCAGTCATATACGTCTACACTCATATCAGACTCTATTAGTCATTATTAGACATTAGTGTATATATTAGATACTATTAATCATATATATGCATATACATATATGCATATGTATACATGGGTGCATATGTGTATATATACACATACTCACACTGATATATGCATACATATACATATAATAAATATAGATGTGTATATAATAATATCTAATATTGACTAATATAATCCAATTCTTGTTTGCTTGAGACAGGTGTGAATGTTGCAATTGACCACCTTGATTAGCACTTAATGGCCCTGCAGGCTCAAAACCTGGCTGCTTCAAAATCTGGCTGCCAGTATTAAAAAATAATGTCCTACTAATAATGACTAATATGATTAATACTAGCTTGGGGACCCAGCGCTGCCCAGGGTTATTTGAGAAAGGAATTGTGTATCAAGGTTGGTCTTTCTCAGTTATTTATATGGCTCGCAGTGGTCTCAGGAAGTTGGTGAAGGTACTATAAGTCCCATCATCTCTGGTCCATCCTCCTCCAAACTGCTTCAGGATGGAGAGTGGGTCATAGGGGCTCTGTGTGCCAAGTTTGGTCTTGATTGGTCATTAGATGACTGTTGCAGAAGTCTTGGGAAGTGAGTGGAGGTACTTGAAGTCCCATCACCCATAGTCTGTTCTCCCCCAAACCTCACCAGAATATTGAGTTGGCCATGGGGGATCTCTGTTCCAAGTTTGGTCTTTATTGGTATTTGGATGAGTGTCGCTGTGGTTTCAGGAAGTGAGTGAAGGTACTACAAGTCCTATCATCCATCGTCCGTTCTCCTTCAAACAGCACTGGGATGTAGGGTAGGTCAAGGGGGCTCTGTGTGCCAAGTTTGGTCTTGATTGGTCATTAGATGAGGGTTGCAGCAGTCTTGGGAAGGGAGTGGAGGTACTTGAAGTCCCAATCATCCATGGACTGTCCTCCTTGAAAGTGCACCAGGATGTAGAGTGGGTCATGGGGGCTCTGTGTGCCAAGTTTGGTCTTGATCAGTCATTGGCGAGGGTCTCAGTGGTCTCAGGAAGTGAGTGAAGTTACTGCAAGTCCCATCATCCATTGCCAATTTTTTCCAAACTGCACCAGGATGTAGAGTGGGTCATGCGGGCTCTCTGTGTAAATTGTGATCCTGATCTATCATTGTTGGCAGTTGTAATGGTCTCAGGAAGGAAGTGCATGTATTGCAAGTCCCATCGTCCATGGTGCATCCTCCTCCAAACCGCAGCAGGATGTAGAGTGTGTCATGGAGACTCAGTTTGCCAAGTTTGGTCTTTGTCGGTAATTGGATGAGGGTTGCAGTGGTCTCAGGAATTGAGCAAAGGTACTGCAAGTCCCATAATCCATTGTCCATCCCCGGCCAATTCCATAGAGAAATATAAATTGAAATTTTATACCAAAACTCCAACGTGGCTGTCACCCCTAGAAGCCTTTCAAAGACGAGAATTAGGCTGGCAAAAGTGGCCCACCTACAAAGATCTATTAAAAGTAGACAAAGGGAAGATGGTATTAAAGGAAGAAATTGCGATTAAAAAAAACTTTACTAACTATTCCTGGTTCCACAGCCAAGTTTTAAGTGTCTTGTGAAAAGTGTCAGGGAGGGGGCAGATCTAACTTCTTTAGGGAGGGAGTTCCACAACCGAGGGGCCACCATGGAGAAGGCTCTGTCTCTTGTCCCCACCAAATGCGACTGCGATGGTGGCGGGACCGAGAGCAGGGCCTCCCCAGATGATCTTAAAGTCCTTGATGGTTCATAGGGAGAGACACGTTTGGACAGGTAAAGTGTTTGTCACTGCTTAACAAGTAGAAAGGACAATGTGCAAATGGCTTAATGACTAGCCAAGGAGGAAGGCAATAATTATTTGGGTGGAGGGAAGAGACATTACCTTCCAATCCTTCTATTTTGATGAAAGTCCTATCTGATAATAAAAGCAACCCGGCCCCTAAAACCGATTCTACCTGTGTAGAGATGTGTATGCTGTCCCTGGGCAGAAGACAACTTTCCCTGTGCCCCGCTTGCCTCTTGGAGAGCCCTGCCTCGCTTCCCTCCCCAGAAAGCCTGCTTTCTTTCCTCCTTAGCAAAGGTCTGCGGCCCTTGGGTCCAGCGGTTGCCCATACCATCCATTATATGAGTCCTAAATAACGACATGCAACAACCCTGCGCGGCCAGGGCAGGGAAAGGCGAGCTCTGGCCCTTTAAGGCGCCCGCCTCGGTCGTCGTGAGAGATGCGTCGGCTGCAATTATTCCCGGGGGAAGGGAGGGGTGGGGGGGCCAGGGAAGAAGAAATAGACAGCTGTCTCTTTAAAATGTCATTTCCTTCTATTGTATTGGAGTCGTGATCAGGAAAGAGGATGTGAAAGCAGAGCGGCTCGGAGGGAGGGAGAGAGCGAGAGAGAGAGAGAGAAGGAAAGACACAGACACAGAGAGAAGAGCTTCAGAAGTGGGACCAGCAGTAAGAAGAAGAAGAAGAGGAAGAAATAGATGAAGGAGGAGCCGCTGTCCTGCTGCTGCTGATGGTGGTGGCGGAGGAGGAGGAGCAGCAAGGGATGCTGAGCTCTGCCTAAAGCAGGGAGCCTAAAGGGAAAGAGAGAGAAAGAGAGGAGGATTCATCCCGGGATCGAAGCGCGGCAAGGACCAAGCGCCTGGCCAGGATGGGAAGCTGAAAGCCCTCCGGGCTCCCGGGAAGAAGGGTCTCTCCCCGAAAGGCCGCCTCCCGACGCCCCGGGCTCCTTTGGTCTGCCTGCCTGTAGCCTTCCTCTTCTTTCTCCCTTTCCCGAAGGGAGCCCCGTGGATGTGGTCGCGGGTGGGGTGACCCCGAGCCAGACCTGCCAATGTCCTCGGCCATCGAAAGGAAAAGCCTCGAGCCCTCCGAGTAAGTGGCCTTTCCCTCCTGCCTTCCTTCTTTCCTTCCTTCCCCCTCGCCTTTCCCTTTTTCTCGGGGATCTGGGCATACTTTGGGGAGTCCTGCCTTGGGAGAGAAATCCCATCTTCTCCAGGGGGAGGTCCGCCCTTGTCCTGCCTAGATCCCCGGTTTTGGGGTCCTCCTTTCGCGACTGGGCTTGCCAAGTGCAGCTAGGGAAGGGAGCAAAGAGAAGGACGCATTCGGACCCCCTTTCCCCTCTTTCCTTCAGTCCCCAAATGCCTACGATTGCGGTAAGTTACAACTTTAGAGTTCAGGGAAAAGGGAAATGGAGTGGTTAAGGGAAAGCGAGGACCGCAAAGAGGACTTCCAATGTGGATATATATGTGTGTCCCGTCAAGTTACCTGTCACCTTAGGGCGACCCTATAGGGTTTTATGCATTTTCGAAGGCTTTCCTGGCTGGAATTGCTGGGTTGTTGTAAGTTTTTTGGGCTCTATGGGTTAAAGCGCTGAGCTGCTGAACTTGCTGACAGGTCGCAGGTTCGAATCCGAGGACCAGAGTGAGCTCCCACTGTTAGTCCCAGCTTCTGCCAACTTAGCAGTTCGAAAACATGCAAATATGAGTAGATCCATAGGTACCGCTCCAGCTGGAAGGTAAGGGTGCTCCATGCAGTCATGCCGGCCACATGACCTTGGAGGTGTCTATGGACAATGCCAGCTCTTCAGCTTAGAAATGGAGATGAGCACCAACCCCCAGAATCAGACAGGATTAGACTTAATGTCAGGGGAAAACCTTTACCATCACTATAGCCATGTTCCAGAAGCATTCTCTTCTGAATGCTATCTATGGCAGGCATCCTCAGAGAATGTGAAGTCTCACAACCTCTGAGGATGCCTACCATAGATGCAGGCGAAACGTCAGGAGAGAATACTTCTGGAACAGGGCGACACAGCCTAAAAACTTACAACAACCCTATAGGGTTTTCTTAGGCAAGGCATATTCTTCCTCCCTCTGGAATATAGCCTGCAGCACCTGGAATTCCTTAGTTTCCCCTCCAAGTTTCCCTTAGTTTCCCCTCCAAGTCCTAACTGGGGCTGACCTTTTTGAGCCGAAGATCAGTGTGAATGTGGTGACTTTGTATGGCATTTAGGCCCTTTTGATGCAAAAAAGGCATACTGGCAAAAGCAAAGTGAGATTTGCAGCTATAGTTATTCTGGTGCTTGTTAAATAGGAAGCAAGTCTTTTGATGTCTTATGGGTTCCCCCATGAGAGAAAAAGTGGGGACAAGGAAGAAGAAGACATTTGGGTCAATGGCTCTCCTTTCCCTTCACTGTCATCCGCTGCCTTGGTTGAGAGATTCAGGATGTACCTAGAGTGTAGAATCCATGCACTTTGCCACTATTTTAACTGCCATGGCTCAGTGTGATGGGATCTTGGGAGTTGTTGTTTTACAAGGTCTTTTGCCTTTTCAGCCCAAAGAGTGTTGGTGCCTCACCTGACTACAAATCTCAGGAGTGCATAACCTTGAGCCATGGCAGTTCAGGTACTGTCAAATGGCATTAGTACTATAGTAAAGATGTGCCCACACTGATCATTATGGAAGTTCTGGGTTGCTGTGTTATGGTCATGTTCCAGAAGAGTTCTCTCCCGACGTTTCACCTGCATCTATGGCAGGCATTCTCAGAGGTTGAGAGGTCTTACAACCTCTGAGGATGCCTGCCATAAATGCAGTTGAAATGTCAGGAGAGAATGCTTCTGGAACATGGCCATACAGCCTCAAAAACTTACAGCAACCCAGTGATTCTGGTCATGAAAGCCTTCGACAAATTTATGGAAGTGATTTATGTGGGTGGAGGTGAGGAAGCAGATCATAGTACTTTCCAAACACTAGAATTTGTTTTCAGACTCTTTTTCCTCCTTCCCAGCCCAATTTAATAGGCTGACTTGACTAAAAGGATGTTATCAGATGATCAGATGTAGGGTCAACATCCACTTTTTCATAATTTATTTATTTATCGTGTCAGAAGCGAGTTGAGGGTACAGTTACAATGTATTTAAAAACACAAACAAAGTTTTAAAACTTGGCATTATGCTAACTGTCCTTTGACCAGAAGCTGGCCTCTGGTGTCGCTGGGAGAAGGTCCTCCATTGTGCATGTGGCAGGGCTCAGGTTGTACTGTAGTAGGTGGTCTGTGGTCACACCTACTACAAGTGCCTCTATGCATCAGCCACAACAAGAGCTATACACTGTGGAATTAATGCAGTTGAAAACTACTTTGACTGCCATGGTCCATTGCTATGGGATCCTAGGAGTTGTATTTTGATGAGGCGCTAGGACTTTTTGGCAGAAAATGTTAAAGACTTTTAAGTTTAATTTTACTTTGGGAAGAAATGACTTGGGGCCATGGTGGCGCAGTTGGTTAAACCACTAAGCTACAGAAATTGCTGATCAGAAGGTCGGCGGTTTGAATCCACGGATGGGGTGAGCAGTAGCCACAGATTCTGCCAACCTAGCAGTTAGGAAACATGTAAATATGAGTAGATCAATAGGTGTCACTTCTGTAGGAAGGTAACGGCACTCCAGCCATCATGCCAACCATTGGGTGAGCTCCTGCTGTTAGCTCCAGCTTCTGCCAGCGTAGCAGTTTGGCAACATGCAAATGTGAACAGATCAATAAGTACTTCTCCGGTGGGAAGGTAACAGTGCTCTATGGAGTCATTGCCCTTAGAGGTGTCTACAGACAATGCCAGCTCTGCGGCTTAGAAATGAAGATGAGCACCACCCCCCAGAGTTGGACATGACTAGACTTAATGTCAAGAGGAAACCTTTACCTTTACTATCCATATTTTACTTAGAGATAATTGATATAATGTTTAGTGAGGCTTGCAATTAAATGTAACCTTTAACATGCCTTGGGTACATCTACTCTGTAGAATTAATGCAGTTAAACACTACTTTGAATGTCATGGCTCATTGCTACAGTCCTACCAAAGTAATATAGGCACATACCATTTTATATCTGTAGAGATATTATACTTAAGGCATTACTTATGATATAACTGAATTTGGGTTTTATGGAAACAAACCTTCTATATATTGTACATAGGGATTAAATCCTGTTGAGCTAGTGACTAAGATTCACACAACTCTGTTTATGATGGTAGCATTTTATTAATTTTACTAGTTCCTTCTCAATATTATAAGCAGTGGAAATTGTCTATACACTATCAGCCCTTGTATCAGAAGAAATGCAAGATATAAACAAATAAATGGTATATATGTCCTAACTTTAAACTTTGCATTTATATATTTGTTCTATGTCCTGCTTCTATAATAATAATAATACTTTATTTGTAACCTGCCCTATCTCCCCTGGGTGGTTCTCCTCCCATGAATGGAATTTGAGGACTGTCATTGTATTTAATGTGCTTTGTTTTTAATCTGACAATGATTCCCACATGGCCTGAGGAAAAAGTGGGCTGTGTATTGAAACAAAAGAAACCTACATGTTGGGACAGACGTATCTTAGAAAGCCTTCGATCCTTGTCCCAATCTTTTTGAGACACAGATTCTATACTGAAAGTATGCTAGAGTGCACGTGATTGGGATCAGTTGTTGGAACAAGTTTTCAAATATAGATAATATAGGGACAAAATATTATGGACTTGTGACAATTGTTCCTGTTTTCCGTAATACATCAGTTTTCATATCCCATAACACTTTGTAACATGATTTTTGTTCCTGGGTTATAAATGTCACTTCCTAATTGGTTATATCTTAAAAACATGGAAAAAGTTTATTAAATTGTCAACACTTTGTTTTTGCAGGACATCCTGCAGCATACGTTGCTATAGTTTTTCAATGAATATCTCCTTGAGTTTCAGTCAATTCAACATAGCTAGTGGCAGCCACAAAAGCAAAGTTTCCAGAGTATAACAACTACTTCCAAAGTAATTACTGCACAATTAAACAGGAATAACACTGTTTTTTCCCTTTCAAATTTTGTTACATAGTGTAATTTCACTCTTTGGGGAATGAGTCTTTACACCCCAGTTTCTGAGTAGAGTGGTCCATACATTGGATTGCCATTAAGTGTGATACTTCTGTTGCACTACATACATCTAATGACTAACGGTGCAGATATCATTCCTGAAAGCAAACACAATATTATGGGAATTTAATTTTTTTAATATCCTGATTATTATGGTGTAAAACTGCTGCACAAACCCAGACCATTAGAGTCTGAAGAAACTGGGAGTGTACTTCAAACTTGATAAAGATAGATTTGCTCTCAGAGAATTCTACACCTTTTTCTGTTCCTTAGCTATTTATATATGCCTAGGGGATGTCTGCATTTTGGTTTCATGACCTGAGAAAATGCTTTTCTCATTCCTACA